GAACCATGAGGAATTTTGCTGAACTGAACAGCACCGATCCAAAGTTTTGATTGAAATGAAATGATTTGATGTGTCAAAACCCTGTTCTTCATTTTGAGTTGGTGTTTTGAAATGAAAAGTGTTGTTTTGTCTCCAAATATTGATGTGAAATGAAATTTTTTACTTCTCTCAATCAGGAAGACAAGGCGGGGAAGAAAAATAATTAAAATTGATGTTTCACCATAGCAAGGCTTTTATTCAGAGCAAACCATCTTTTCTAATGGGAAATCGTTGTGTTGTAAAAATGTTCATTTCTGATAAGAAATGTGGTCAGGGCTGACCAGAGCTGGGCTGATGACGGCAGTGCAGAAATGAAAGCATCCCAGCCCAATCCCTGCTGGGTCCTACGTGGCCAAGTATGGCCAGAAATACACCTTCAAACATCTCAAGAGGAAAGAGAATATTTCAGGCTGTCTGGAGCAGGGCAGAGCCAGGTTTCTGCTATTTGCTTCCCTGTCTGAAATCCAGGCCCCCCCCAAAACCAGGCGAGTTTGCTACTGGTGGAGCTCAGGGTTGTGGCTTTATTTGCTTTCTGTGCAATACCCGAGGTGCGTGTTGCAGTGACTTGGGTGGGAATCGAGCTGCTTGTTAGCTAAAATTGAACATTATGATTTCTGTGTGAGATTGGGAGGGAAAGCGTGTTTGTTTATGGGAGAGGAGTGTGTGTATGTGCCTGCACATGCATGGGAGAGAGTCTTTGTATGGAAGTGTATGTGATACCCTCGATGCCCTCAGACTGTGTTAACCTGATGCTGAGATGCTGCAAAGTAGATAATACTTCTGGAGGGAACCAAAGAGGAAGCTTGGTAGTATGGAGAGCTCAAATCTAGCTGTTTTTTGACCCTTTTTCATCCTTTCCTCTTGGGGGATGAGGGTGAATCCAAGGTCTTGTGCAGCCCAGCCACCTTCTCATCTCCCTCTCCCTCGTGCCCATCTCCCAGCTTTGTTCTATCCTTGCAGGTCCAGGCAAACGTGGAGAAGTCTTTGACCCTCTTTGGGCAGCTCCTGAACAAGAAACACTTCTTGCTGACCTTCATCCGCACTCTGGAGGCTCAGCGGAGCTTCTCCATGCGGGACCGCGGCAACGTGGCCTCCCTCATCATGACGGCGCTGCAGGGTGAGATGGAGTATGCCACGGGCGTGCTGAAGCAGCTCCTCTCCGACCTCATTGAGAAGAATCTGGAGAGTAAGAACCACCCCAAGTTGCTCTTGCGGAGGTGAGTGACCATCTGAGAGGCTGGAGCTGTGGGACAGTGCCCAGGCTCTTCTGAGTGCTTGGGCATGAGCTGGTGTCCTTTAGGGCTGCCATCAGTGATGGCTTTGGTGTTGGCTGTGGCAATGCCACCATTGCGTCTGTGGTCAAGCGTTTCCTTGGCTGTCTGTGTGCAAGTATAAGAGGGATGTGGGACCACCTGGACCCAGCCAACTCAGGAGCTGCCCATGGGAGTTTCTCGCTCTGGTTTGGCCTGTGTGGGTTCAGGTCTGGAAAGGAGGAAGCGAGATGCTCGGCAGCTGCCAGCTGCGTAGGCTGGTGCAGGGAGGATGCACGCTCATGTCAGGCACTGTGGAGATGCTCCCACCTGCCTTCCCTTTTCCAGGTGACCAAGTGGTCCCCCACACATCTCTGCATGTAGGGCAGCTCTTGCCTTGCCTGGTGGCTGCCTTGCCATGGGTGACTTTGTGGGCTGGCAGCAGGCAGGAGTCCTCCTTCCCCTGCTACCTCCTGGGGGCTTGTCCGCCTTTCTGGGCATGTGGAGGTTTTCCTGGGAAAGCCAAGCGGAACTTCACAAGCTGGGAGTCTCTCTGGGGCTGGGGGCAAGTGCGAGCAGGAGGCAGCCTGCCAAGCCCTGCCGTGAGTCTGCTTGGCCCATCAATATTTCACAATAGCTTTGAGCTCTCCTTCATCATAGGCTGATGAATATTGAAAGATACACCAAGTGCTGAACAAAAACAATTAATAAGTTCCACCAGACCAGCTTGAGGCCCTCTGTGCCAACTTCTCCCTTTGCACAACATGCTGTGTCTCCCCATCTCTGTTTCCACCAGCCTGGTGCCACCAGCCTCCAGCAGAGATGGAGGGACAGCTGAGAGCCACAGACTGGCATGTCACCAGAAGGTCTCAAGAAAACCAGAGCGTCTTTTAGACATCAACCACTGTTCATGGCATGGCTGCACTGGACAATGCCTATTGGGTTTTCTGTGCCTGGCCCTGGGGAGACACCTAGAGAAGACACAGAAGCGAGCTGGTTTTTTTTTCCTTTCCTCAGCTGGTCTCTTTAGGCACATTGCTTTCTTACTCTCTCTGCTTCATTTGTCACGTTACAAGGGTGCCCTTAATTTCTGAAAGCACCTCATTAGCGATGTGCCAGGGAGGAGGTGGGATGTAGACCTGTGGCTGGCCAGGAGAATGGTGGGTCTTGGAGGTGCTGACCCCTGTCCCCCATCCCTGTTCCCCAAGTGCATCCCTAGGCTTTTCCCTTCTTACTGTCCCTCCATGACACCAAGCTTCACTGAAATATTTAAACTGCACTTCCAGCTCCTGGGTCTCACAGACCATCCTGAAGCTGCTGCCATCGGAGCAAATCTCCGGAATGAAGTAAATCAATAAAATATAAATAAAAAGCAGTGCGAGGAGGCCAGCAGCTGCCGTGTCTGAGCCGTGGGAACAGCACAGGACCAGAGCTCAGCCCGTGCTGGCACGGTGAGAGCCGACAGCCCGAGGATTGTTGGTCCCCAGCCACGGAGCTCAAAGGCCCATCACAGGTGGAGCAGCAGGAGGCTGAGGACAGGGACGAGGTTCCCTGGCTGGGACCTGGCTTGTGCCTCCCTTAATGATATTTAATGAAGAGACTTTGTTCTTCCTGCAGCCACAGCCCGGAGTGAGCGGTGCTGAGGGCTGTGCTTCTCTGCTTTGGATTAGCCCTGCTGTTGGGCGTGAGAGCGTGCTTACCACCCAGGGCAACGGGATTAACATGGATCTAACTGGAGAGAGCTGTTATTTATTTATTTTGTTATTGGATAATCCCCCCCGTTGCTGTGGCATCTGGCTCTGTCAGGGATAAAGACAAACATCCACCGGAGCCTGGGTGGTGGCACTTCAGAGGAGTGTTACAGGCTGGTCAGTGAAGGACCTGATCTGGGGCTGGGGAGGGTGTCTGATAAATAGCTTCAGTCCACCCCTCCCTTGACCATCTCCCCATGTCCCTTTCCTTCTCCATTTTTCCTTCCCCTTGATGGATTAATCTTTCCTGGTGCTTCCCTCCCCTGAAGGCTCAGGTATTACTGTCCGCTAATGGTTTAAGGAGGGCTGTGCTATTCCAGGATGGACAAAAAGAGCTAAGCCCCATTAGCAGGGAGAGAAAGCCTTGGAAGGGATCATAGGACCCTGAGTCAGCTTGAGTAAACTCTGGGAAAGTGGATTTCCTACCCCAGCCATCTGGCCATCGGGAACTGCTCCTGTCCCATCTGCCAGGCATGGCATTGCTGTTGGGCAGTGTGCGGCATCGGGCAGTGGGACTCTTCTTGATGGCTCTGAGGTTCATGTTCTTTCTGGATTCTGTTTCTTGAGTGAACCCGTTTGTGTCCATTCCCCTGGTGCAACAGGAATGCAGCCACGTTCGTGAGTCATTAGTATTGCTTGTGCTTTCAGGAGCATCTGCATTTGCAAGTGGCTGATCTGATGATTAATGGGTGGATAAGCTGAAGAAGCCTGACCAGAGAGGGTTGGGAGGCTGGTTGGCATTTTTACTCTAAAGAGAGTGAAAGCCACTTTACAAATAATGGACGTGTTAAGGGAAATTTAATCTTACAGCAGCGAGACTGGGCTGTAGTGCAGACACAGGCGTGTTAAACTGCCCTCGTAGGGCTGTGGTACACCTGGGTCCTGTGTCCCCCTCAGCTCCCTCCATGCCAGGATGTCCCTCTCCTCTGTGTGTACAGCACATCCTGGCTGCAGTACCACCAACCTGAGATCCCCATGGCCTATTTGGACCCACCACATCTCACAGCCATCCTGCAGGATCCTGCTCTCCCTCTCATGCACGTGCTGTGAGTTGATGGTCCCAAACAGACACAGCTGACTCCCCTGGACCTTCCTTGCCATGGTGCTTTGGAGCATGTTGCCGTCTGGATTTGGACCATGCTTTAGGAAACTAGAGGCAAGGTTTTCTTGAGGCATTTTTGGCTGCTTCCTTCAGCTGCGTCTCCAAAGGCTGTGAGGCACAGCTCCATTTTTAAGCTCCTTTTTGAGCATGTGGTTGCAGCATTGTTCACTGCAAAATCCTACATCACCACCCCACTTCAGGGAGACACACAGACCCAGGATTTCCACCATGCATGGTACATGGAAAACAACTTGAGCTTCCAGCCACTGCTCTTCTTCCTTCCTCCTTTAATCCCCTTGTTTTTGGTTTGACCAAAACCATATTGGGATCAAAGTCTCTAGACCTCAGTCAAGTGGCGGCTTTAACAAGGCCATGTGCCAGTGGACCAGTACCCTCTCTGCCTTGCAGGGCTCTGTGTCCCCACCCAAGGGCAACCCAGATCCAGGCCCAAGGGCAGGGGCATGGAGAGAAGTGAGGATGCAAACCATGTCCTCCTAAAGCTTCATCATCACTGCCACTGAGTGCCAAGAATCAGTTGTCCTATCCTCCAGAAGTTCTTCTGACCAGACCTTGCACAGGCTGCTGGGGAACACTCTTTGTTATCCCTCCAGTATTGGTGGTGATTGTTTTCCTGCTCTCCTGGGGGTCCTGGGCTTTGAGGCTGCAGAGACCAAGGGCTTCTTTGGGTATTGCTAGGAAGTCCCATGTCACCCAGTAGTGGTGGGCTTGTGTCAAGGCAATAGCAGTGTTCAGTGCCTTGCAGGAGCAGAAGTGAGAGCAGCTCCCAGGCTGGGAGAGGGGCTTCCAGCTAGATCTGGCACTCGTGGATGTGGAAGGAGATGCTCCTGCTGTGGGAATGTGGGTCAGGATCTGACCTTGCCTTGCAACCTCAGCTCTTCCCTTCAGGTTGTGCTTTAGCTGGGGAGCTTGAGGTAGGTTTGGTGACATTTTACCCTGTCTTAAGTGTCTCATCCAGTCCTCCTGTGGAGGGAATTGCCTGGTTCCGATGGGAGACGATGCAAGAAACAAGCTTCATTTAAGTAGAAAGTACCAGGGAGGGGTAGAAAGCTGGTCATCCCCTGGGTGTGACTCCCCCTGGGACAAGGTCATACTTGGCTCTCTCTCGATCTCCAAATACACTCGAGACCAATTTGCTTCTCCCTCCTGGGGAGCTGCTGTGGCTCAGCCTTGCAGATGGGTTGGCTTTTCAGTAGAGCTTTTGCTGTCGGCTTGTGCCTCTTTGCTTCGAGGCTCCTGCCTTTCCAGATGTGTCCTTTTAAAGCCAAAAATAATACAGCTACAGTCCAAGGCTGAGGTGGCAACGAGTGAGATCAGAGACCTTTAATATCCTCTCCTGACGGCTTTGCTCTCTGCCTTCCCTACAGAACGGAGTCGGTGGCAGAGAAGATGCTGACGAATTGGTTCACATTTCTGCTGTACAAGTTTCTGAAGGTGAGTTTGGAAAGAGATGGTAACTCCACCTGAGTGGGAAGGTGGTTCCTGCCTCACTGGGATGGGCAGTGTGGTACCTGGAGCCAGGGCTGATGTGCTCCTCAGCACTGCTGCTCTCTCCTGGAGCAGACATCGCTTCCCTGGCCTTTGTTCTCATCCTGTGTTTCTGAAGTGTGATTATGGATCTCCTGTTGGGGAAGGAGCTGAGACTGAGAAATGAAATCCAGACTGGCATTGCTTATCTGTAGTGGGTTTGAGATCTTCATAAAAACAGCACCTGGGGAAAGGATAAATCTGAAGCAACTCTGCTGAGTCTTGAATCACTTTGGAGTGGTCCCCATTGCTCCCTCCTTGCCTCTGCTTGTATAAGTCAGGAGGAGGAAGCCCTGGGAGCTGTTCCTTTTGTAGACTTTGCTGTGCTTGGAGGATATTTCTGCCTGTTTGAGCTGTAGTTTGATGTGCTGCACCCTTCATATAATGCTGCTGCTTTTCTTTCATCTCTGACGTAGAGGCTTCTTGGTGGGGCGATCGTTTTACCCAGACATCTGCACTTCTGCTGCTACTACCCCTCCAAAAGGTGTCCTGGTGGGGATGGATGTCCTGTGGGACTTGTTGGCAGCCAGGGATCCAGCTCTCTCCACAGCGTATGCAGGAGGGTGCTGGTGATCTTCGACCTTCTCGTGCCCCTGTTGGCAAGCCTGTTAGCTTGAATTCCCCTCTTCCCCAATTTCATTTGGGGTAGCAGAAGAGGGTGCCAAAGTGTAAGGGCTGCTTTTACCGATTCACCCAACCTGTATTGAGAACATTTATCCCATCAGCACCAGTGCCTCCACCTGCTAGAGCTGCATAAGCAGCCATGCAGGTTACACAGCTGCAGCTCCAGCCTGTGGACCCCCAGCTTGGTCCTGCTGCTGCTTCAGGATGACATCAATGGGGTGAATGGCGTCTCTTGTCCCACTGTGGGTTTGTCAGTCAGCAGAATTGTTTCTTGGGATCCTGCCTGGTGTCAGTGCAGGGAGGCTGGGTGGCACACAGCTGTTTTCGCAGGATTTCATCCCTCATTAAGATAAAGAGAGTTTGAACCATTTCCAGCCAAGAGATGAGAGCGAGCAGGAGCCTGTGCAGAACTCAAGTGATCGTCAAGGAGAGGTGATTTATAATATCACTTACATGCACTTGGCTTTTTGCCTTCATCGAGGGATAGCCTGTATCTATAAAAATCTAGCTGTGGCGTATGGTGGAGATTGCTTTCCAGGGGTGGGAGAGGAGAAGAGCTGTGCCCATTGTGGGGAGATGTCAAACCTCTCACTGCCTCTTCATGATGGGGCTTTGCTGAACAGGGCCACCCTCTGCCTCTGCAGTTGCAGTGCCCGGTTGGATCAAGTAGGACATCATGAGAAGGTTCTTTGGGGTCAGTGGGACAGGCAGGAGTTGCTCTTGCTGTGGATAAACTCCCTCAGGGCTCCTTGAGGAGGACAAGGTTGTGCTTTGCCTGAGCAAAGTGGAGTGCGCAGCTTTCCAATGCCCACAGCGGCGTTTGGGGATGTTGTGTTCATGTGTGTGACTTGATGCCCTTGGCCTGTCCCTGGCTGGGCTTTGACATGTGGGCAGATGATGGATGCATGTTCACCTTGTTCAGAAACTGCTTCGGGTGGTTAAAGCCACTGCTGTCCTGCATCTGTCCTTATACAGCCCTGTCCCCCGTTGCAGAGGGGTTCAGGCACATTGTCAGTGTGGGATGGGTCTGAGGACAAGGAGTAGCAGGAGAGAAGACGTGGGATGAGACCGGGGCAATGCCTTTTTGTAAAGTCCTTGGCTACACCGTGGCTTTGGCGAAGGAGAACACCTTCAGTGTTAGGATGGCAGCAGCAGGAGAGAGAAGTGTAATCTAGATGCACCATTACAGGAGGAACATGCCTGGATAAACCCACTGGCTGTGGGATTTGTTACACTGGGGATCATCTCCCTGGGGAAATGGTTGGAACTCTGTCGACTGGGTCACTTGAATTAGACTGGAAGAAACTTGAGGATGCCTTCATGGCCTCTCCTGGGTCGATCCCACCAGAGGAGACCCATGGGGGCATTTCCACCTGTCTCCTGACAGTGAGGAGATCACAGATGGCATCACAAGCAGGAGAAACCTGTGGAGTAGATGGGGAGGTGTCACAGCAGAGAGTTTGCCAGCAGGGAAACTGCACCAAACCGTGGTAATCGTGCATGTTAACGAGGCAGGCGGACATGTGCCCAGCTGCCAGATCTGCTCTCAGCAAACCTGCCTGGAGCAGAGCCGGACACAGCATCGTGTGGCCATGATGTGCTGGGGTGAGGGACAGGGACAGGACAGCCTCCCCTGCCCAGGGCCAGCAGCGTGGGGAGCCAGCAAGGGCTGGTGCTTTCACAGGGACCCTGTAGTAGCATTTATCAGACTCTTAATGAGACACCCCGGGGAAAGGGAGGGGGATAAATTGAGACAAGTGCTGAAAAATGCACCATATTAGGTGCCTGATGAGCTAGATCTAGTCAATAAGACAGTTTGAGCGTTAGCTGGCTCGCCTCAGCCTGCTCCCAACATACCAGCGTGTGCACGCACCGGGTGTTTGCAGCCGCTCTCCTTCAGATGGGCTCACCCGGAGAGTCCCCCCAGACCCCCCCAGACCCCCCCAAATCAGGCCCTGGCAGCGAGCAAACTGCTCTGGGGCTGGCAGCATGGGCATAGCCACGTTTGGGGCAGGATGCCCTCCATCAACCTGGGGGGCTGCCCGGACCCACCTCAGGAGTCTGCTGCTGTATCTCACCCCATGGAGATCATCTCGGAGCAATCGCCTGGTTCTGGTTTCTGTGATCCCTCTTTGTTTTATTGGTCTCTGTCAGGGATGAGCCCTAAACCATCCTCAGCTTGTAGAATTAGCAGAATTCACTGGAGTGTGTCTGGAAATTCTGGGAAGCTGAGCCCAGGGGTTGATAGAATGCTGTTGTGACTCAGTGAGCTGTGACCCATGGCAGCATCTCGGCCCCAGTCCTCAAGAGTCATTGGGGACAGTGAGGTTGGGAGTGAGGTTTTGGATTTGAAGGGTTGGACCCACATTTGGAACAGGTAGGGAAGCCACGCTGCAATGTGAAGGGCGTGCAGAGTCGGGGGACAGGACAGAGGGGCTGTTTTGGTTGGCATTAGGGTGCCCAACAGGTCAGAAGGAGACCAGGATCCTGGGGCACGCAGGAGACCCCAGAAGCCTGCATGGTGCTGCAGGGGTGACATACCCGTCACCAGGACCACTGATGCCTCCATCCCTCTGGTGTGGCCATGGGATCAGCTCTAATCCACGCATCCAAAAAGAGATTTATTCCCCATCAGCCTGGCTGATGTCCAGGGAGCAGAGGAGGTGATGCTGTGATGCCTGGAGTGCAACCGGGCTGCCAGTGTGGGAAGGGCTGAACCCACCTCTCTTGGTGGCAATCCCCAGAGGTGGGCACAGAGCTGCAGATGAGGGGACAGCAACCCTGCCTCACCGGAGAGGGGAAATCTGTAGGCTGAGATGGGTGCAGCTGTGCCAGATACGAGCAGGAGTCCTGCTCCAAGCTATCCTCCATCCACACCACTTCTACAGACTGGCAAGTTTTATGAGGACTTTTTACAGGCAACAGGAAGAAGCAACTTGAGTCTTTCCACTCAAGGGGCTGGAGGGGTGTCCTGGGATCCCCCAGGGAATCACTGCTCTGTGGCCAGCCTGGCACTCCCACCTTGCTGGGCAGCTGGTAATGTGCATCGTAGCACCCACCTTGGGTCTCTCACTTTTCCAAGCTGACTTAATGAAGCCAAGTTTGCAAATGAAACATAATTTCAAAGACAGGCGTGTTGTCGGAAGGTCTGGGGATGATGTATGCCTGTTCCTGCTCGTTAGCAGCTGTCTCTTTAATTACCGCAGATGCTAACGAGATGCTAACAGCATATGGTGACAGGGAGAGCAGCCACACTTTGCACCAAAGTACAATTTATTTGTGAGGCAGGCAGGAAGGAGGGGTGAGGGCTGGTGGGGTAAAATCTGCTGGGACTTCTCCCCATCCTCTGCTCCCATCATACCCTTTTTTCTCCCTTAGGGCTAGTGCCTGCATCTGGAAGGGCTCATTGGGATGCAGCTCAGGGCAGAGGTTTGGGCCTTGGGTGATAAAGGGAGATGTCCACTTCCAGTCCCCCTATGCCAAATCATGGCTCCAGGCTGGTTGGTGCCTTCACTCTTGGCGAGTCCTTTGCTGTTCCTGGGTTGTTGCAGTTCCAGCATCTTTGGGAGAAGTATCTGGTCCAGTTTCCCTCTCCTTTCCTCCTACCTAAGAGGTAGATGCTGATTTGGCTCTGTCTGGTGGCTAAAGCTGGCTCTGACTATAGGGGTTTGTCACTGGGGACATGTAGGTGGCAAATGGTTTTAACTGCAGGAAACCTCGTTGCCTGGTCCCCTCCGTCAGCTGGAGAGTCAGGGCAGGATTGTCAGTGAGTTGCTCTCTTGCTTCTCCTTCCCAGTGGATCTGGCTGGCTGTGCCCAGCCGTCATATGGAGAAACCTCCTTTGATCTTCTCTCATGTGTGGCTGGACTCCTGGCAGATGCCAGAACTGCACTGTGATACCTGGGCAAGGGCCCACAGGACCTTTCCAGTCCTCAGGTGCTTCTCTTGTCTGGACCAGCTCAGACATAGGCTATATCCCATACACAATGTCCCCAGTCCCAGTCTGCTCTTCAGTAGCCCTGAATTTAACTTTTTTAGCTTATTTTTGGCTTGTAGAATGAGCAGAAGTTACCAGAGGGTGCCTGGAAACTCTGGGAAGCTGAGGCCTAGGGTTTGATAGACAAGATAGCAACCTCCATCAGGCTTGGAAGGAGAGAATGAGTTCCCCCATGAGATGAACCTTACCATGTGCCTGCTTCCTTGAGCAAGGGCTGGAGATTCTTTATAAAGCCACATATGGGACTGGATGCTGCAGGGCCACTGCAGGCTCATGATATGGTGTTGGTTCTTGGAAAGCAAAGCTGGTGCCTGGTACTTTCTCACCCCTCTCTCTCCTCCTCCTCCATCCCTGTCCTGCAGGAGTGTGCTGGGGAACCACTCTTCATGCTCTACTGTGCCATCAAGCAGCAGATGGAGAAGGGACCCATTGATGCCATCACAGGAGAGGCTCGCTACTCCCTCAGTGAAGACAAGCTTATCCGGCAGCAGATTGACTACAAAATGCTGGTTAGTGCAAGTGGAAGCCTCACTGCTACTAGTGCTTGCCAGGACTGCTAGGTCCAGCTATTGAACAAGATTTTGGAGGCACCCAAAGTGCTTTGCAGAAAGTGGTTTGTCTCTTCTTCTCCTCTCTGAGATCCCTGGAGATGCCTCTTGCCCTGTCTGTGTGGTGCCCATCTCAGCTGGGGTCAGAAACAGGGCCTTTTCATAGCAAGGTTTGCTCTTGGCATGGAGCTGAGAAAGCCAAACATGAACTTAATCCCCCTCCACGCCTCTTCCAGCAAACCCCATGACCCTGACAGTTACGGGACCAGAGATGCTGTTGAGCACGTGCTACCTGGAGCAACCAGTGCTCATGTTTGGTGGGGATCAAAGTTAGAGCCTTGAGATCTGAGGAGAAGGAGAGATACTTCTCTTCCTCCTTGTGAGCCCTCTCTGTCCATCTGAATGATAAACCAGGCACTTCCCCTGGCTGAGCCTGCAGCTGGTTCTTCACCACCTTGACCAGGGTGGGGTTGGGAGGAGAGTGGAGTGTGCCCAGACATCGCTCAGGCTAGACAGGTTTTGGTGAGTTGGGCATGGTTTGCTGGCCCAAGATTCCTTCATTGACACTGTGCTGCCTTTCTGGGAATAGTTTGTGATTAGAGGGTGGCAGGGAGATGCAGGAATGTGCCAAGTGGCTGCAACTCCACAGTAGCCCGGGAGGTGAGAAGACATGGTCCATAGGCAGCTGTATCCCCCTGTCCTCAGCCCTTTTCAGCCAGTGCGTCACAACCTCTCACTCGAGTCTTTCTGCCCCCCTGTGCTGTGCAGACCCTCAACTGCGTGAACCCTGAGAACGAGAACGCCCCAGAGATCCCTGTCAAGGTGCTGAACTGCGACACCATCACACAGGTGAAAGAGAAGCTGCTGGACGCTGTCTACAAGGGAGTGCCCTATTCCCAGCGACCCAAAGCCGGAGACATGGACCTGGGTAAGAGGCAGCAGACTTGTGACTAAGAGCAGAAGTGCCAAAAAACCTGTTTAAGGCAGGAAGATCCACATCTCCTAGAGGAGAGGGGACCTGGCAGGACCAGAGCATTTGTGCTTGTCCAGTCCACTTTTGCTGCGCTGGCGGCACTGACTGTGTGTAGGGACCCCTTGGCATGAGAGTGCGGATCCTGCCTGTAGAGAGGATGGGGAGAGGAGCCTCCTTGGCTCTGGCTGTGGTCTGGGTTGCAGGCTTGAGGTGACTGAGGTCCAAGGAGGCCAGCTGAGAACAGTGTTCATAGTCCAGTTCTTAAAGGAGGGGCAGGAGAATGAAGAGGAGAGGAGCAAAGGAAATGGTCACCAGGGTCAAATTGATGCTGTCTTTCCTTGAGTCCTTAGAAACAGCTTTTGCCTAACACCATGTTGGTAGTCATCAGTCCTGGGGTTCAGAACATGGCAGGAGGGCTTTTATGTTGATGCCCAGACTGTGCTCCTACCCTTGCCTTGGCTTTGTCCTCCTATTGTCCCCTAACCATGAGCCCTTCTTCCTCATGGGGACAGAGTGGCGGCAGGGCAGGATGGCCCGGATCATACTGCAGGATGAAGATGTCACCACAAAGATTGACAATGACTGGAAGAGGCTAAACACACTGGCCCACTACCAGGTAAGGCTGTCCATGGTGGAGAGCACTGAGTAGTCACTAGCTGCTTTGAGCTTAAGCATCTCTTCTTGGTCCAAGCAAGATGCACCAAGAGCACCTCAGCTTGGTCAGGGCCTGGGCTTGGCTCTCCAGACCGTGCTGCTCATGCAGCGTCATGGCCAGGAGGTCTGCAGTCACTTTTCTGCCTGGGCCCCATGTTTACGGTCCTTCTGTTGAAGGAAGCAGTAAATGGAGCATCTCCAGCACTCACAGAGGCTGTTTCCTGCTCTGACCTTACTTTGCAATTTTCATGCCAAGGTTTCTGGTATGTTCCTGTTCTGACTCTTCCTCCAGGCTGTTGCACAGGTAGATATGCAGGTCTTCTTTGCTGGAGATGGATGTCCCTGGGGCGGGGTGCAGTGTAGCTTCATCCCTCCTGGGCTGTTTTCTCCCTGCTGCGGGGCTGTTCCTCCTGTGCCTCTCCAGTGTCTGCTCATGCCATCTCTGCCCTCAGGTGACAGACGGCTCCTCGGTAGCCCTGGTGCCCAAACAGAACTCAGCATACAACATCTCCAACTCCTCCACCTTCACCAAGTCCCTCAGCAGATACGGTGAGCACACTGGGGCATCCTCCGCCGTGCTGGCAGGGGAGGCAGCATGGGGCTGGGCTTGCAGAGTAACGCACAGGGCAGGTGATTGTAACCGTGGCTCACATGAACAAGGTCCTCCAAACCCCCGGCTCTCCTGCACCACACTATTTATTCTGATGTTGAAGAGGGAGCAGATGCCCTCAGAGCCATCTCTCTTTGCAGCGTGTCAGACTCGGGGGAGAAAGACACGCGTCAAGTGGCTGCTGCTAAGGGGTCCCCTCCTTTTTATTCCCCTGAAATCTAATTAAAATAGGCACAGAGACACTTTGCACTTAAATGAGCAGAGTTGAGGACTCCAGCAAACATGCTGGCAAGTCTACTTCAGCCTTGGTTTGGAAGGGAATAGTGTGGCCAGCTCAGACTGACAGAGGAGGCATCTGTGATCCTGGCACCTGCGTGCTGGGAGCAGGACAGACCTCTGCAGAAACCCTTCTGTGATGGTCCTGGCTCCTGGACATCAGCCAGGCTTGAACATAGCCTGTCAGGCTGTGAGAGCGGTCCCAGCAGAGCTCCCAATCCATGACCCAAGGCTGGATCCCAAAGCTCCCGTTTCACAGCTGTATTGAAGCCACAGTGGAGGGATGGAGGGGCTGGTGGCAAGGCAGAGGTGGGCAGGGTACAAGTGTCCCCCTGTGCTCCGTGCTTGCAGAGAGCATGCTGCGGACAGCCAGCAGCCCTGACAGCCTGCGCTCACGGACACCCATGATCACCCCCGACCTGGAGAGCGGCACCAAGCTCTGGCACCTGGTGAAAAACCACGACCACATGGACCAACGGGAGGGTGACCGAGGCAGCAAGATGGTCTCTGAAATCTACCTGACCCGTCTGTTAGCCACCAAGGTATGGCATGGAGAGACACAGCTGCCACTTGTCTTTTCAGATCTGGGTGGAGAAAGGTAGTGATTCGGGCTGTCCAAAAGTTGGTCAGCACTGCTTTTTTTATTAGCCTCCTGCTTCAGCACAGGAGGAGCTACTGTCTTGGTCTCTTTCTTGAGCTGGAGGTGATGGTTTTGTGTGTCAAAGCCCTCAGTGAATATCACTTGAGTGGATTTTCTTTTTGCACTCTGACATTTTTACTGTTCCGTGTATCCTTGAGCAGCTGCTGGACTGTGAAGCGGAGATGCCCTGGGGCAGGCGCCTCATCCTCTTTGGTGTTTGGGATGAAGCTGCAAAATCAGTGATGTGGGAAGGGCAATTACCCGGGGCATTTGGCATCACAGCGGGTTCCCCTTCTCTCAGCGTATAAAACCTTCTCTAGTGCAGAGCGGGTGCTGTGTGTCTGAGATGACCCTGGAGAGGAGCAGAGGGTTGTGCTGAAGATCCAGCCTCAGGATTGCAGAGACTGGGCTTAGCCATCTCCCCTGTGACTTGGCTCCTGCCTCCTGGAACGAGGGCTCATTCAGCAATGTTTGTCATCAGGTCTTGGGTACCTTGATGGGGCCTAAATAAAGACCCTGATACGACACACCTCCATTGTTTTTTCCTCTGTATGTTTTTATTTGCATGCTTTTAGCATGCCAGATCGTGCGGTGAAGGAGATACTTCATCACTGAGGTGTCTGTTTCCCAGTATAAACCACTGAGAACCAGTAGGGTTCCACAGACTGTACTCTGCTTCTCTTCCCTTCCTGTGGTAGGAATAGAAGAGAAATTGGTTTAAAGGTTGACCTTGAGTTAAAGGCTCATCTCTCTGCTTGTGCTGGGTGTTGCTGAGTGACCCTTATCTCCTTCTCCTCTTCAGGGCACCCTGCAGAAGTTCGTGGATGACCTGTTTGAGACCATCTTCAGCACAGCACATCGTGGGAGTGCACTGCCCCTTGCCATCAAATACATGTTTGATTTCCTGGATGAACAAGCTGATAAGCATCAGATCAATGATTACGATGTCAGGCACACCTGGAAGAGTAACTGGTAATGGAGAAGGGCAGTGGGGAGGGGGGGGTGAGGGGGGCGGCACTAATGATATCACAGCTACTGATACCCCTCCCACAGGGAGCAGAAATATGTCCCTGGAAATGATCCAGGACGAGAGAGGCCTATATCTCTGTGTGCTGAGTGTGGGTAAATCTCTTGCATGCCTTCCTGCGGCAGAAAAAATCCCAGGAATGTAGTGCTCCCTCAGCCCTTCCATTCCCAAATCCCAGCACCACGCTGGAGTTGGCTGAGGACCGTGAGTTGGCTGAGGACCCCGGCGGCTCTGTTCCCATCTCACCTCGGGCAAACACTGCTCGGGCTTCTCCATCCTCCAGCCTCCTCCGGAGATGCCAGCCCCAGTTCTCATCTCGACTGGTCTAAAGGTGTTTCCATGCTCCCTCCTTCGCTCAGCCGAGCGTGCCCTAACAAAGTCATTGTAGAGCCGTGTGTGCAGCCTCCCTCACCTCACCCACAGAGCCCGCCCGGCGGCTCTCCCTGGGTGCTGTGCTGGGGCCAGGGCTGGAGCCGGCGTTGGCTCCTGCTCCACAGCCTCCCCTCGGCATTTTTCTGCTGCCTCGCTGATTTCATCTCTCTGATCTTGCCGTTACAGGAGACGGGTACGTACGTTCCCGTGTCTGGCATTTGTTAAATGGCAGCCAAATTGCTTTTGTATAGTTCAGTAACTGTTGGCAATTAGCAGGGCAGGAAAAGAAACATTTTTAAATGGAGATGTGAGAGTGCGGAAGTGCTTGGAACTGATTTATAACTTGGCTTTCTATATTAAAAGAAGGAGCAAAAGGCAAGGGAGGAAAAAAAAGCCCTGCTCCACAGGGGCTGGGCATGCAGGCTCCTGCATACTAATGCCTGTGCTTATCTCTGGGTGCTAATTCGATGTGTGGAGCTAATTTCTTGAGGCCATTCCCTTTGCAAATGAAATATGTACATGCACCCGGTACCCTCATTAGGAAAGTCCTGGGGAACAAAGTACGTTTTGTCTAAGATAAAAGCATTTGCTGGGTGTTGGTGCTGAGGGATGACAGAGAGGAGAGGCTTTTGGATGGGGGGAGGCCCTGAGATGCTCCTGGGAGAGGTGGGGGCAGTAGGACTGGGAAATGGAGCCATGAAGGGTGGCACAGGTATCAGTGCAGCAAACATCCAGTCGGTGGCTGGCCAGGACACCCACTGTCTCTACAGCCAAGAGCTTTATTTCCAGCATCTGAGGCTGCCTAATTTCTCCTCTGGTGTTAAATGTGCTAATGAGTCCCTTGAGGAGTCCAGTTAACTCCCTTTTCTGACACGGGGGATGTGTGAAATGCCACACTGCGCCTTGGAAGGGATTATTGATGCAAGAGAAGAGACCGTGCCTGGTGTGACCCATGGGCTCAGCAAGGGCTATTCAGTATGAGTGGATCTTTGGGGAAACCACAGATGTGCTGCCCTGGTTTGCCTTTGGAGATGTTGGCTGTGCTGAGGAATTTCTCAGTGGAGAGCTGTGGCTATGTGGGGGCCAGAGGGCAGAGGGGAATGACCATTTACCCCGGGATGTTTGTATCCCTGGGGTGCTGGGAAAAGTATCTTGCCCAATTCTGGGTCATGGGGAGCTCCTTCTCCACTGCTGGAGGTGCATGTGTGTGTCCAGTTGCCCTGTTGGGCTTGGTCCAAGTGCTGACTCCTGTTTCCTTCATCCCTCAGTCTACCTCTACGTTTTTGGGTGAATGTGATTAAGAACCCCCAGTTTGTGTTCGACATTCACAAGAACAGTATTACTGATGCCTGCCTATCCGTGGTGGCTCAGACATTCATGGACTCCTGCTCAACTTCTGAGCACAAGCTAGGAAAAGACTCTCCCTCCAACAAACTACTGTACGCCAAGGACATCCCCAACTACAAGAGCTGGGTAGAAAGGTGAGTAGACTTGGCAATATCTCCTTGCTTCATCTGGAGGACTTACAGTGGATGTATGTGGATGTGGGGAATCAGGTCATTGGGAGGACTTCTCTTGGCTGCTATCTGAAGAGGGACCATGCTGATGCTTGTGGAAGGTGATCCTCTCGTTTGGGAGATGATGCTTTCTTGCAGTTGTCTCCTGGAATGAGTTTGCAATGACTGTTTGACAGAGCTGTTTATGCTTAAGGGGTGTTAAAAGCAACCTCCACTTTTAGGTTGTCTGATGTTTTCTGTTGTAAAAAACTTAGCCTGTGCTAGGGAATTGCTAACACCTCCCTTGATTGCTTTTGAAGAGCAGTGGGAAGTCAGCTGTGGACTAAAGAAGTCCTTTTTTTTGTACCACAACAATATAGGCAGGTTTTGCTGAAATGGTTGGAAAGTATCATTCCTCATCTCTCATCCATCGGTACGTCTCTCTTGGGATTCTGATGAGAACACATGCTCTGAGGCAGTGCGCGGGCTGCTGTTGCTGTGCTGAGGAGCAGGGAGAGGAGCAGGTCCCCTGACTCCTACTGACACCCTCCACGTTCACTGTTAGCTGATGACAGACATCCTTCTGTCCCGCTGAATTAATGCAGGGTTAAAGGTTCAGGGTTTGAATGCTACTGATTGCAAATTGATGCGCTCAGGCATAATGCTGTGTTTAGCTTTATCCTTTTGGGAGAGAAACCTAGGAGATGTCCTCCAAAGCCCTCCAAACAGAGCTCCTTTTAAAAATGTTACTGTGTTATAAAGTGGAACTTAATCAAGCTTAAAAATTGGCAGATTTCAGGTTGCTGATGCAACTTTTCCCTTATGCTGCTATAGATCATGCTCCCCCTCCCTTTTTTTTTTTAACTGAGGACCCTTCCTTTTTTCAGCATCAAGACCAGATACGGAATGAACCGAATGAAAGATGTCCAGGCAACAATAAACATGTGGGACTTTGTAGCCTAAATCATCCTTTGGTTACGTGCTGGCACACAGTTATTTTTGTCACACCATTGGCATGCCTGGTGCTTTGCAGGCAGGTACAAAGAGAAACTTCTTCCCTCGAGGAAAATAGAGTTTGGATCAGAAGAAAAGGTGCCTCTAAAATATGATGGCTGAGATGAGAGATGAGCTGCATTGTAATAGGAGAAAGTTCTTTGCGAGGGGCTGGAGGGAGCTTTGGAGTAGGGTCCCGTAGGAACATCACAAACTTCATAAGGTGAATTTCTCAGACCTTGCCATCTCTGTGATAAAAATATTCAGCTCTGTGTGTGCCTGGAGGAAAAAAGATATAAACCCATTCCATAGTGAAACATTGGTCTAGACACGCTGTGTCCCTGGGGAGGAGGTGAGAGATCTCACCGGTGACAGATGTTCTGCCATCGCTTACCACTGGTTCGGTCCCAGAGGCAGCCAAGGAGGGGGCAGAGCTGTCCTGTGCAGGGTGCGACTGCGTCTCCTCTGCTGCAGGGATTTACAGTGTAATCAGCATTCCTGGCTTTTGGCACAGCCATTGCTGCAAACCCTTGCAGAGGCAGGATGGGAGCAATGCGAGGGCGGCTGAGTGGGACTGCTAGTCCCAAAAGCAGGTCTGTCTGCTGATGTGGTTCAGGCAGCAGCTGAAAAAAGGACACCCTGCCAGTCTGAGGCAGGAATAGCACCCTACAGGGTTTGGGAGGTGGGGAGCCTGGGGAAACCCAAGGGGACTGCTGCTGGGGTCATAGCTGTGGTAGGTGTCCTCTGGAAATGGTAGGTGTGACTGGGATCTTGGTCCACATAAGCCATGCACGCTTGTATTGAAAAATGGTGGTTTCCTGCCATCTTTTGTGTCATGATAAAACCCATAATGCAGAACTACTGCATGTTACCTGGACATCTTGTGGCAGCCCCAAAAACTTTCTTCCTCAGCAATGGAAGAAATCCTCCCTTGCACGTTCATCTCCCACAAGTCCCTTCCCACAGGGGCCTTCACCTATGGGGTTAAAAGGTGACCAGGAGGATCCCTATGGATTTTCTTTGCTAATCAAAGCTGGCTGGAACTGAGAAGGTTGGGCATATTGTCCCTAATATTCCTCAGCACAGGTAGAAGTAATGTCAGTTTTAGGAGATGTCGTTCTGGGGTGATCACTCCAGCGGCATGGTGCATCTCCTGATACCTGATTTAGTCAGAGGTCCTCACCTCAGACCTCTGATGTCTTGGCAGCATCCAGGAAATCTCCAGCATCACTGAATGAGCCTTCTTGTAAAAACTGCCCAAGTATTTTAACAGTAGCTGAGTTCATTGCTGTGGGATGGAATAGATCCTCCTATTCATCTCCTCAAGTGGTCTTGCTGCCATCTGCTCCTATCCAAGTGCTTCAGCCATGTTCCACCTCAGCATTCAGCTGCTGATGCTAATGATGCTAATCAGTGTACCAGAAACTTCACTGAGTAGTTTGAGGAGTCACGAGGAGTAAAGTAAACCTGTGAGAGACTGGCATGCTGTATTTCCAGGTGGTGGGAGCAGCCAGGGCTCATTTGCAGTGGGTAGGGTTTCTTTTTTAATAGAGGCCTGTGGACACAACCCTGGTTTCCAAAAGGACCTCAGCAGCCAGTCCACTGGTGCATCTGCTTGGTGTAACCCTTCTGGTGCAATGGGATGCTGTGGCTTTGATCTCCCTGGGTTTTGAGGAATATCCTGTTAGATACTCTGTTTTTCCACTATGATTCTGGACCATATAAGCTGTGTCTGGGTTTCCCTGTATTTGCTGAGCATATCAGTGAGGCAGCTGTGGGATGGGACTGCAAATCTCTAAGGTGTCCTAAGAAATGTAAGGTAGTATCTTGCTGGTAGCAACCATCAGGGAAGCACAAGAAGGCAGGAAAGCACCAAGTCATTTGGCCCAGGCATGTTCTAAGACATCAGCTACCTCCTCTGCTGCCTGGGATCCTTTAATTTTACAAATGTGTCTGCAGAACCTCGGTTTTCACTGAAAATGAAAACTCCTCTTAGCTTTTTGGCGACCGGTAACTTCTGAGCATGGCCAGTAGCAGTCATAGGCTGTGTTAATGCCTGGTGCTGAGGAGGACATAACCATGTGAGCGTGCTGTACTGACAAGGGCTGGATGTGAGATTGTCTTGTGTCCATGCACCAAGTATTTAATTGAATGCAAGGGAGGATATTTGGCTTTAGCGATATGCGACCTTAGAAGAATGGTAGCAAGGCCTTATGGATTACTGCAGGCATGGAAGATTCTGGTGGATGCTGTTTGGTTGCAAAACATGCCAATGGGATGGGAAGGAGGAAAAATGTGTGGTTTAGGAGAGGGTGGGAAATCCTTCACAGCAGTGGCTTCTGGCTCCCCAGTATGGAGGACTGAGTTGGGCTCAGGCTCTGCTTTGCAGCTTGGTGCTGCTCCATCAGCAGCAGGTTGCTGATGATGCTGACCTCTCCACAAAGCACCCAGAGACCTCTTGATGAGCAGCGGCGTTATAATGGGTGATAGTGGTATATTACTGCTCGGAGGCAAGCTGCTCCTCACCTTGCTTCTTCAGTGGCTGTTCTCAGCGAGCATCACAGTGGGGACCCCTCCCCTTCTGTCTGTCCCTGTATCAGATCCACTCTTCTTGTTTCTCCCTTGCAGATATTATGCAGATATTGCTAAAATGCCAGCAATCAGTGACCAGGACATGAGTGCATACCTGGCAGAGCAGTCGCGGTTACACCTCAGCCAGTTCAACAGTATGAGCGCGCTGCATGAGATCTACTCCTACATCACCAAGTACAAAGACGAGGTAAGACGTGGCGATGTGGAGCCAAGCTTGTGTGTGAGCTGTGTCCCTTTGCCCTCGTTTCTGCAATCCCCTCGCTTTTTCCTGTAGAAAAACACCCTGTGAGATGCGGGAGGGCAACGTAGTCTGTGTGGGTGCTCGGGCTGGTGGGGGAGGAAAGGTCTGGGAGCCATGGAGCTAGGCACTGCTGTAGGCACTGCTTCGTTTCTCATTTTTCTGCAGTGAGTAATGTGGGAAACACCTATTTTTCTACTTATTTGGCACATGAGCTCAGCGGGGCTGCAGAGTTCATGGTGTTATCTCAGTGTGCCTCCCCTCCTTGCCTCTCCTACCCGCCGCCAATGACCCGGTGCTGTGGTGATGCCAACACCGTGTGATTATACAGGCGGTGTCTGGCTCTGCTCCCTGGGGATGGTAGGGGATGTGGTGGCCTCTTCAGTGCTTGCTTTGTGAACATCAGTAAGAATGGTTAAAAACCCCTCTTGTAATTTATACAAATTACCTTTGTAAAGCACCACTCAGATCCACACCCTGCATCTTTTTATTAAAGCAATAAAATATGTAACTACAGTAAAATATGGATCTATGCATATAACATGATAATATAGATTTCATTGTCCCATTAAAGCAGACTGATGACTGTGTTCGAATGGTGGCTTATTTATATGACAGAGTGCCACAACTTCTCCTTACTTTGAGAGAGATGGCCTCTTGCCCCGCAGGGAGAGGAAATGAGGTCCCTGTCTTACTGCAGCAATCCTGAGAAGCATCTCCCAGTGCTTCTTTGAGATGTGAATTTAGGGAGTCCGTGGGCAGGTTGTAGCAGACCTGGCCCCTGGATCTAAGGTCAGCACTGGGACCTGATGGCCAAAATCGTCATGGAGCTGGGTGCTTTGCAGGAGTGAGGAGGAGGAGGAGAAGGGCCTGGCTTGCCTACAGGGATGGGAGGAAACCCTGGTGCTTGGGAAGGTGCTGTGTGGTGGTCACTGTGCAGCTGGTGACCATGCACTGGTAGGACCTCTGTGCTGCTCTCCAAACAACTTGGGATGGCACGTCCAGGAGGCCCCCAACTATGGGATGAGTTGGTCGTGAAGGGTTTTCAGGGGTTTTACAGCTTTTACAACCCCTGTGGCTCATGGTTTATGGCTACCATGAGGGTGGAAGAAGAACAGTTTGGAGGATCTACATCTGCTGCAGGGCAGCCATCGTCCCTCAGCCATCATCAGGTGCTCGCTTACTTCAGGCTAAAAGTCCCCCAAGCCTTAAGTAAATCCTCCAAGCCCTGGGTGAAAGCAGGGAGGGGACTGTGGGGTGTTAATGAGCTGCCCTTTAGGGGCACAGGTCCTCTTCTTGCCCGCTAACAGCAGCCTGACATCTGTTGAGTGTCTTGCTGTCGCCCGCTGTCTGATCATCACAAGTGTGTTCACAGCTCTCAGGAACTTCTTTTATTATTTGTAATGGGATTAATAAATCGCAGCTGTTCCCTTTGTTTGTTTTCATTCATTAAGCACAATTATATGCAGCCCGATTGCACCCTCTTTGATGCAAAATGGGAGAGAATAATTTTTCCTGTTGTTCAGTGCAATAATACGCTGTCATTGGCTGTGAATGAAAATCATAATTAATTTTCATTTGGGTACTTGCATCTTGGTAATCAGTGGTCCTGGCTCCTTACAGCAGGTGACAAACTTGGGTCTCTCCATGCTCAGCACAGGTTTCCTTTGACTGTGTTGTTTCTGTGAGGCTGAGATAAAAGAGGAGCAAATAAATGCAGGGGCAGGTTGTGAATCTTTCGACACCTCAGCATCCCAGGATACACAGCTGTCTTACCAGGAGAGGCGGAGGAGGCGGGCAGGTGGAATAGGCTCCTCTTCACTTCTTGGACCAATCTCATTTGGTTCCAGCTCAGCCACCTTTCAGGCACGTGGGGTTTTGATTTCTACATCAGTGTTACTGGAGTTATTTTATTCCGTGTGCAGTATGACGGCCGACAGCGGCTGTGGAGATGGATGGTGGGGGAGTGTCCTGGCTGGCACGTTTGTGGCAGAATCTATGAGCTCTCGCGAATCCAGCTGCAGCCCAGGGTCGTTGCTGCCAGGGGTGGTAAATCAGATGAGCCTGGCTCTCGCTGGCGAATTTTCCCCTCCTCAAGATCTGATGGTGGTATCAAGATGCAGCGTTCCCTTCCTTTGAGAATAGATTCCCCATCAGGCATCTCCTACTGCCCCAGCAGACAGGGACCAGCCTGGTTGTGTCCCAAAAAGCCTGGCAGAGAGCCAGAGCGTGCCGGTGGCCGGAGGCAGCTGTGTGGAGCGTGATGGATGCTGCACAGCACGCACTGTGCACTGCTCCGCAACCCTCCGGTGCTGTGGCAGCTCTTAATCAAATGGAGCTGATTCCCCATTAAGAAGTTACCTGTAGGGCTCCTGATGGACTTTGCCTGCCTCCTAGTAAGTCTATTAATTATACAACAGTTTGTTTCCAATTATGCAGCCAATGAAATGGTTAATCAAATCCCCTTTGACGGATGCCTTGATATTTAATTGCAAAAAATTTGCTCTCTCAACTAGCTCACCCGAGGAGATGAGATTTCTGTCAGGTTTCGTTTTTTTAAATCAGCTTTTCTGCTCTGCTGGCATGGTGTTAGTGAGACAAGTCTCCTAGCTGCTGGGAGGGCAACTGCCCCTTTGTTTTATGCTTCATTACTTCCTTCTCCCCACTCTGAGTCTTGTTCTCTGCCTTCCCCCTGCTGCTGGTTCTTCCTCAGCCCTGCAGGTGTGACTGCATCCTCCCCAGGGCAGGGGACCATCCCTCTGCCCTGCGATGTCATCATGGCCAGGAGCTTGTTTAGAGAAAGATTTCAAAGGAGGAAAACCATCCTCATATGTCTATGGATGCACCCTTTGCACAGGACTGAGGGCTCCCAGCGAGGCAGGCAATGCTGGTAAATCCATCTGGGACTCCTCTTCATCACCCCAGTGTCCCTCAGTTGTCACCTTGGGGAGAGATGGGCAGGGTTTTGCCAATGGCAGCAGCTGAAGCCACGTGGATTTAGTCTTTCTGTGTTTGTGGAACCAGTTCATGGCTTGATCGTGGTCTTGGAAATGCAGCCTCTGCCTCCCTAGGACATTGGAGCTTTGTTGGGAGTCATGGATATGGCAGGAAGGTGTCATTGCCTTGGTTTTTGGGTTTGCCCTCCATTTGCTGATGGATGTTTGTTTTCTTCATTTCCCCATGTGCAAGTTGGCTTCTTGTTAGTATCAAGCAGGTCCCTGGTGTTACTGCAGCACCTTGGAGGTCCTGGAAGGCTCTGCCTGTGGGCCAGCAGCACTCAGGACAGTGTCCTCTGCCTCATGCCTCCTTTAGCCCTTTCCTGGCCTTGTTAGGGACAGGAGTGAACCCACGGTACTTCCCATGGGACCGTATCCCCATGCCCTGATGCACTGATGAGCCATCCATGTGGGCAGTGAGGACCCGCTTTGGGAATCATAGAATCATAGACTGGTTTGCGTCGGAAAGGACCTTTAAAGGTCATCTAGTCCAGCCCCCCTGCAGTGAGCAGGGACATCTTCAACCAGATCAGGTTGCTCAGAGCCCTGTCCAACCTGACCTTGAATGTTTCCAGGGATGGGGCATCTACCACCTCTCTGGGCAACCTGTGCCAGTGTTTCACCACCCTCAGTGTAAAAAATTTCTTCCTTATATCTAGTCTGAATCTCCCGTCTTTCTTGGAGGACATCTCCTCACCCTCTCTTCTCCCCTGTCTCCCCCAGATTTTAGCCGCGTTGGAGAAGGACGAGCAGGCCCGGCGGCAGCGGCTGAGGAGTAAGCTGGAGCAGGCGATCGACACAATGGCCTTAAGCAGCTGAGAAGGCGGCGGCGCGGTGCCAGCAGCCCGGGCGGGCGGCAGAGGCGG